AACTGCGGACGACATCGTCATGATCATCGCCGTTCTTCTGCTGCCCACAGCGGTGGCAGCACTATGTTCCGATACCGCCACCTGCATCAGTCGAGTGCGGGAGATCGTTGCGGCTCCGAGAAAGTGAGTTCCTCGAGGAGTACCGTACCTAGAAGTCTGAAAATTTTACTTGACTCAACCATCCTGTTCAGATTCTGGTTCGGAGAGCAGCGACGGTCCCTATGTCAGGGTCGTAATGCCGATCCGGTAGACTGCTTTGGACCACCACATCTGAGCGCCTTCCACTCGGTGGGAAGTCGTCTGTTTCGTGTCAGGACCTACCATGCAGCCTATTTGAGGAATCTTCAAATTTTTCCTCGCGTCACATTTCGAGCACATTCAGGTTGGTGCTGCACAGGTCTAAGGGCTCTTTGAAGGACTCAAAGAGTTTGTTTAGGTGAATATCGGGCGTGCGATCATGATTTCCGAGCTGGGAACGGGAGCGTCCAGATTGTGGAGGCTGACCCGGACATGTCCCCTGTGGCGCCATACTTTATCCGGTCAAAGCCAGAAATCACCTGGCATGGGTTACAATACGACGAAGAGTTCATCATAGCCATCATAGATGTCGGGTTTGGAACTCTCAACTATCTTCTGACGGGCTTTCCCCGTCAACCTATGGTAAGCTACGCTCCTAAACTATAACCTAAGGGTTTTTCCGGGACAAAAAACATTAACTTATTTTCAGGTGCTGCACGACTACGAGCCATCGGAGAACTTTCCGCCCAGAGCCGAATCCGATGGTGGTGGCTGTATTTCGTAAATCGAAAAGGATCATCGCTGAAAATGGGGCGAGCCGACGACTTTGACATTTCGAAGTTCATGCTCGACAACGACCTGGCTGACGGTCAGTTTTCTAGCTATTATAGCAACAGGGCTTGGGTAAGGAACAGGGTGATTAACGGTCGACCTCGACTATGGCTATGAACTGAGTGAGAATAGCATCGAGGGTGAAGGACCGCGTGGGAGATTGGGACTGAGCAGGCAAAAATTCTCGACTAGTCGTCGACGAATCCTCGATCGATTTTCACCCTGGTAAGGGATTAGGTGTTCTGACGTGCTAAAACATCCTACATAGGCGAAAATGGCTGTGAGGAATAAAGCCAGCTTTGATTTCTTTTCATTTTTTTTTGGAAAGCGATCCCCGAACATCGCCAATTTCTCCTTTATGACTTTCAAGTGGCTCAGGTTTTTCAGATTTGATCGGCCTATCGTTGATCATCGTTGGCAGCGATGCGTTTGCCATTGAACGACAACGACTTCGAGGAACTATCGACAACTGCCACAGCCTTCTGAGAAGCAGTGAGTGGGAGTTTGCACTCTATAAATAAAGGATAAAGGATATTTTGCATTCGTAGTGGCATTTGAATGCGATGTGGCCTATACAATGACTTGCGGGGGCCAGCCGAAGTCAGTGTTTTTATCCTCCCAGACAAGTCTGGTACCAATTAACCGACCCCGGAGGGATGGAAGGCTTGGTTGGCCCGGGCGACTCACGACCCAGGATTTGATCCCGGACCGCTCGCGTGGTGAGCGCGCCACTTGTCACTACTTCCGCCCACCTCTATAAAATGTAGAATAAACGCGAAGAGAGAGTAGGGGAGTAGCGGTAAGCGGCACAGGTTCCAATCACTTAT